ACCTCACATTGTGACCACAGTATGAGCACACAGTGAGTGTGCAGTGACCTCACATTGTGACCACAGTATGAGCACAGAGTGAGTGTGCAGTGACCTCACATTGTGACCATAGTATGAGCACACAGTGAGTGTGCAGTGACCTCACATTGTGATCACAGTATGAGTGCACAGTGAGTGTGCAGTGACCTCAATTTGTGAGCATAGTATGAGCACACAGTGACCTCACATTGTGATCACAGTATGAGCACACAGTGAGTGTGCAGTGACCTCACATTGTGACCACAGTATGAGCACACAATGAGTGTGCAGTGACCTCACATTGTGACCACAGTATGAGCACACAATGAGTGTGCAGTGACCTCACATTGTGACCACAGTATGAGCACACAATGAGTGTGCAGTGACCTCACATTGTGACCACAGTATGAGCACACAATGAGTGTGCAGTGACCTCACATTGTGACCACAGTATGAGCACACAATGAGTGTGCAGTGACCTCACATTGTGACCACAGTATGAGCACACAATGAGTGTGCAGTGACCTCACATTGTGACCACAGTATGAGCACACAATGAGTGTGCAGTGACCTCACATTGTGACCACAGTATGAGCACACAATGAGTGTGCAGTGACCTCACATTGTGACCACAGTATGAGCACACAATGAGTGTGCAGTGACCTCACATTGTGACCACAGTATGAGCACACAATGAGTGTGCAGTGACCTCACATTGTGACCACAGTATGAGCACACAATGAGTGTGCAGTGACCTCACATTGTGACCACAGTATGAGCACACAATGAGTGTGCAGTGACCTCACATTGTGACCACAGTATGAGCACACAATGAGTGTGCAGTGACCTCACATTGTGACCACAGTATGAGCACACAATGAGTGTGCAGTGACCTCACATTGTGACCACAGTATGAGCACACAATGAGTGTGCAGTGACCTCACATTGTGACCACAGTATGAGCACACAATGAGTGTGCAGTGACCTCACATTGTGACCACAGTATGAGCACACAATGAGTGTGCAGTGACCTCACATTGTGACCACAGTATGAGCACACAATGAGTGTGCAGTGACCTCACATTGTGACCACAGTATGAGCACACAATGAGTGTGCAGTGACCTCACATTGTGACCACAGTATGAGCACACAATGAGTGTGCAGTGACCTCACATTGTGACCACAGTATGAGCACACAATGAGTGTGCAGTGACCTCACATTGTGACCACAGTATGAGCACACAATGAGTGTGCAGTGACCTCACATTGTGACCACAGTATGAGCACACAATGAGTGTGCAGTGACCTCACATTGTGACCACAGTATGAGCACACAATGAGTGTGCAGTGACCTCACATTGTGACCACAGTATGAGCACACAATGAGTGTGCAGTGACCTCACATTGTGACCACAGTATGAGCACACAATGAGTGTGCAGTGACCTCACATTGTGACCACAGTATGAGCACACAATGAGTGTGCAGTGACCTCACATTGTGACCACAGTATGAGCACACAATGAGTGTGCAGTGACCTCACATTGTGACCACAGTATGAGCACACAATGAGTGTGCAGTGACCTCACATTGTGACCACAGTATGAGCACACAATGAGTGTGCAGTGACCTCACATTGTGACCACAGTATGAGCACACAATGAGTGTGCAGTGACCTCACATTGTGACCACAGTATGAGCACACAATGAGTGTGCAGTGACCTCACATTGTGACCACAGTATGAGCACACAATGAGTGTGCAGTGACCTCACATTGTGACCACAGTATGAGCACACAATGAGTGTGCAGTGACCTCACATTGTGACCACAGTATGAGCACACAATGAGTGTGCAGTGACCTCACATTGTGACCACAGTATGAGCACACAATGAGTGTGCAGTGACCTCACATTGTGACCACAGTATGAGCACACAATGAGTGTGCAGTGACCTCACATTGTGACCACAGTATGAGCACACAATGAGTGTGCAGTGACCTCACATTGTGACCACAGTATGAGCACACAATGAGTGTGCAGTGACCTCACATTGTGACCACAGTATGAGCACACAATGAGTGTGCAGTGACCTCACATTGTGACCACAGTATGAGCACACAATGAGTGTGCAGTGACCTCACATTGTGACCACAGTATGAGCACACAATGAGTGTGCAGTGACCTCACATTGTGACCACAGTATGAGCACACAATGAGTGTGCAGTGACCTCACATTGTGACCACAGTATGAGCACACAATGAGTGTGCAGTGACCTCACATTGTGACCACAGTATGAGCACACAATGAGTGTGCAGTGACCTCACATTGTGACCACAGTATGAGCACACAATGAGTGTGCAGTGACCTCACATTGTGACCACAGTATGAGCACACAATGAGTGTGCAGTGACCTCACATTGTGACCACAGTATGAGCACACAATGAGTGTGCAGTGACCTCACATTGTGACCACAGTATGAGCACACAATGAGTGTGCAGTGACCTCACATTGTGACCACAGTATGAGCACACAATGAGTGTGCAGTGACCTCACATTGTGACCACAGTATGAGCACACAATGAGTGTGCAGTGACCTCACATTGTGACCACAGTATGAGCACACAATGAGTGTGCAGTGACCTCACATTGTGACCACAGTATGAGCACACAATGAGTGTGCAGTGACCTCACATTGTGACCACAGTATGAGCACACAATGAGTGTGCAGTGACCTCACATTGTGACCACAGTATGAGCACACAATGAGTGTGCAGTGACCTCACATTGTGACCACAGTATGAGCACACAATGAGTGTGCAGTGACCTCACATTGTGACCACAGTATGAGCACACAATGAGTGTGCAGTGACCTCACATTGTGACCACAGTATGAGCACACAATGAGTGTGCAGTGACCTCACATTGTGACCACAGTATGAGCACACAATGAGTGTGCAGTGACCTCACATTGTGACCACAGTATGAGCACACAATGAGTGTGCAGTGACCTCACATTGTGACCACAGTATGAGCACACAATGAGTGTGCAGTGACCTCACATTGTGACCACAGTATGAGCACACAGTGAGTGCACTGTGACCTCACATTGTGATCACAGTTTATGCGCACAGTGACCTCACATCGGGAGCATAGTATGAGCACATAGTATGTTACACTTTTAGCTCACTGTGACACACACATTGTGACCACACCATGAGAATCATGTGAGCTCAGGGTGACATCATTGTGATCAAATTGTTGACTGGGTAGAACATATAGAGCATCTTTATTTCACCCCAAAAACAAAGGGAACAGTCAAACAAACAAACAAAAAACTTTCAGAATGTTTTATTTCGCCGTTTTTTTATTATTATTATTATTATTATTATTACTATTGTGCGCACTATTTAGCCTACTATTTTTTTCCTGCATGCCATGTGCGGGGCTCCTAATAGCTTATGTCTCACAGTTCTATCTTTTTTTCTTGCAATTCTGAAAAAAGCTGAATTGTGAGGTAGACAGTCAGAATTGCAAAATAAAAACACTCACAATTCTGACTTTTTTCTTGCAATTGCGCGAAATAAACTTGTAATTCTGATGAGAAGTGTCGAAATTGTGAGATACAAACTCACGATTGTGAGAAAAAAGTAAAAAAAATTTGATAAAAAGTCAAATAGAATCTTATTTTTTTCCCATTTATTTTGGGTAAAATATTATATTATAGTATATTGTTTCTTTTCTCTTTCTTTTTTTACTCAAATTTCACCATGTCTGCTCATCAAGAAGAACAATTATTATGATAGTTGTTACACAGAGACAATTATGACATCATGCACTCTAAAAAATGCTGGGTTAAATATATAATAATAAAAAGGGACAAACCCAGCTATTGGGTTGTTGGGTTCCAGAGCTGTACGAGTTTCTTTCTTTCGCAAAATACAAATTGAGATGTTAGTCAAAATGGCAGCATGAGTCTCCATCCACTTTCATTGGAAGTCTTTCTTTTTTTCTTTCTTTCTTTCTTTTCTATGAGCAAATTAAGACTGACGCGGTCCGTCATTGCATTTTGTGTCCCTCGGGAGCTATAGCTGGTTTGCAATGACACGAACGCGAGTAGATATAACAGGACTTTATTTTAGAGTGTACTGTGCCTTTAAGGATTCTGTCATTTGTGAGTTGTATCAGGCGCGCTTCATTAAACCAGGCTGCCAGAACATTATTGTGGGCGTTTCTTCATTACTTCAGTTCAAAACTGAGGAAAAGCTCTCAGTAAACATAAATAGGAAGCGCTGCTGGAACCAAGATCATTGTGAAACAGACCTCACTAGCAATTTGTGCGTTATGGATGACAAAGACGAAGATACAGGTGGGTAAATGACTTAATACGTGCATATTATAACGGTCTATTGTTGTTTTATTTCCTTAAAGTTTTACTTGAAGATAAACTACGTTCATTGTCTACTCTGAATGGCTTGCAAGAAACGAAATGGTTCGTATCTGTTGCATGTATAGCAAAAACTTATTAGTTTGTCCTACAAAAAGTATGTTTTAAAAGTAATAAAAAATGCACTTAGTCATTAGGCTACAACCATCAATATATCCTGAGACATTTCAAGTGATCATGGTAATTTTTTAAAAGTAGCCTAATACACGTTTGTAGAGTTTAGTTTAAATGCTTTTGCGTTCAAGTTTACTTCACTTCTGTTCTTACAGCACAAGAAACTGCATTACTGCAAAGATCATCCCTTTTGCACAACGTCAAATAAGCGGTTTTGCAACAAAAATGTTCATTCTGTTTGAACAAAACTTTTTCCAAAGCTTCTAAACGCAGTGCTAGACTCCTTCATCAAATTCACTTTTTAAACCACTTTATATAAAATGACAATAAATGACAGTTTTGTTGAGGATCACGTTATATCTTGGACGGCTGTCATTGCGTCTTCAACCACGTGGACGTCTCTTGGACGTCTGTTTTGATTTTTTTTGGGGGGGGGGGAAGAAACCGTCGCAAACCTTTTCAGTGCTGTAGCTTAATATTAAATATAAGCAATCTTGCTAACTTCTATGCAATTTTAATTCGACAATCATTACATGAGTGAAAGTTTAACTGAGTAAGAATTTCAGAGTTTCTGTGCTTTAGTTGTGCAAAACGTGATGATCCAAGTCAGGGGTGCCCAAACTCGGTCCTGGAGGGCCGGTGTCCTGCAGAGTTTAGCTCCAACTTGCCTCAACACACCTGTCTGGAAGTTTCTAATATGACTAGTAAGAGCTTGATTAGCTGGTTCAGGTGTGGCTAATTGGTGTTGGAGCTAAACTCTGCAGGACAACGGCCCTCCAGGACCGAGTTTGGGCACCCCTGATCCAAGTTATCTCGTAGACTAGCCTATGTATCTCATGGACTTCAATGGAAGGAAGGAAAGCTGACCTTTTGCACGAATGAGTTCACATGGTGAATGCCGCTTTGCTTTTTTGTGACTATAGTGCAGAATCCTAATTAGTAATTAAATAATTATTTAAAAAAAATCTACAAAAATTAATTTATTTCCAAATGTTTGCAACATGTTTTAAATGACAAGAAATTGATTTTTAATGTGATTCAATAAAACGTCATTTTGCACTTGTAAATAATTAGCTAAAAGTGTTTAAAAAGTATGGTGTTTTGAGAGCTAAGCTTAATTTAAGAGGGAACTATATGCACTCAAATGGGAAAAATGTTAACATTCATTAATATCTCATCGTAGTCATTTCACATTTTGAAGACTGACTTGTATAACCCTCGTGAAAAATGTCCAATAGCATATTTTTAATATTTATCAGTGTTGGGGGTAATGCATTATACAGTAAGTAACACAAGTTATGTAATCAGATTACTGTACAAGTAACTAGTAAAGTAACGCATTACTTTTTTTAATTTACAAAAAATTATATTTTTTCAAATAAGTAACGCAAGTAACTTTGTTTTCCCAATTATTGACTGACCACTCTCCTGTCCCCATGTTGAGAAATCGTGAGCTGTGTGAACATGCAGTGTTTTTGTAGTTCTAGACTAAATATCATCGTGCATTTACTCAACTCACTTGTACAAAAACAGTTTCATTATTTCATCAAAATGAATAAAAACAGTGAAATGCAAACTCGGAATACGATGCAAACCTGTAATAGGGGCCCAATTAAAACAGTTAAATAACACAAATATCCTTTATGTATTTAATCCTTTTTTATAAACCAATGTTTATGCTGCTGGCCTTCAATGATCCAATTCAACCATACTAATAACCACACCATTTCCTTCAGCCTGAGGCTTATTCTTTTCACTTTTGGTGTGAAAGGGCTTTTACTTTTGCCAAAAATTGATTTTCATATTAAAAGCAAGCAAGAAAGCACATCCCAGATGTGAAAAAGTAACGGAAAAGTAACAACGCATTACTTTCCATAAAAAAGTAACCAAGTAACGCAATTAGTTACTTTTTTTTAGGGAGTAACACAATATTGTAATGCATTACTGGTTAAAGTGTGATGCTGAATGTACTGACAAGCATTTATCATTAAAAATATACTTTATTATAATTTCTGTTAACTTGAATGTCATGTATTTAAAAATATTTTTAATTATACATTTGCAATTTAGACTTTAAATGTAATGTTAAAAACGCACTACAGTTAATATATAATCAAGTACTTTACATGTGCTTTAAAACCCGACAAATGAATATTAAAAGAATGATTTAAAATGTACTTCTTAAAGTAAAACTTTGATTAACGCTGTTTAAGCGTTAAACATGAATGTTTCTCTTTAAGTGCCCTTTTATTCAAACTGCAAGTGTTTTTTGTAAATATACTTTAAAGATTTGAAGTGCACTACAGGTCTGCATTCAAAACAGTTAAAGGGACAGTTCACCCAAAAAAGGAAAAATTGTCAATTTACTCACCCTCCCCTTGTTCCAAACCTGTATGAGTTTCAATCTTCTGTTGATCACAAAAGAAGATGTTTTGAAGAATGTTGGCAACTGAATATTTGATGGTAGCCATTGACTTCCATATTATGGAGGAAAAAAAAAGAAAAACTATGGAAGCCAATAGCTATCAATCATTTTGTTTCCAACATTCTTCAAAATATCATCTTTTGTGAAGCTCATACAGGTTTGGAACAACATGACGGTGAGGAAACAATGACAGAATTTTCATTTTTGGATCAAACTTTGTCCTAAATTTAAAGCCCTAAAGTTAAGAATAAAGCTTTTTAAACAGTACTTTTCAGCAATAACATTACAATAATCTTCGGTAAGACCTGTTTGTTGTATAACTTGTGCATAATACTGTCTGTTATCTACTTTAACTTCACTTATAACACTTTCACGTATCGCAAGAGCGAAAATGCATTCAGAGGAAAAATTTACTATCTGAAACAGTTAACTGCAAATGTTATCTCTCTGGCGCTTCTGAATCAGTGACTGTAAGTATGTTTTGTTATTAGTTTAAGTATTTGCTATTGACTGTTCAAATTAGGGATGTAACGGTATGAATTTCTTATTATGATTTATAGTGACAAATGATCACGATTATCAGTATTATCACGGTGTTGTTAAAATGTGCTGCAAATGTTCAAAAAGTACTTGCACAAAAATAATTTCACCAAGTTTTACATTTAAAATCAACAAACAACAAATAAAATGAGTTTTTGTTTGCATAATTGCATTGCCAATGATGTCCGGATTTTAAGTGACAACATGACTGACAACAGTTTATCTAATAGCATGTTTAAATATCTAATGTGAATGTCAAATATCTAATGTAATAAAACTGTGTTTTATGCTTCAGGGCTCCAGTCTCATTCTTCCCACTGGTCGCTCTTTTGCGACTAACTTTCTCAGTTGGTCACACCAGCACATGATTTGGTCGCAATATTTTTATTTTTAGGGATTAATCAATGCATGCTGATGAACTTTTATCATAGGTTATAGTTATATGAAAAGAAAGTGGTTAACATTCAACCCGTTCTTTTTCATCAGTATTATTTGTGATTTTAATTTTGTGAATGGGAGTTTCTCTTTGGCTATGTTATAAGCCGGGCTTCGGATGCTTTCACTTTCGAATTTGCGATCTTGGTGTCACGTTTTACAAGAAAAGATAATTGTCTAATTTGCTTACATACTGTACATCTATACATATTTCACTTTTTAAGACTAAAACAAAAGAT